ATATATATAAAAGAACGATTACACGCACATTTTTTAACTTTGTCTCAATAGACTAATAATAGACGCACGTATATCCAATTGTTGATAATAAAAGTTTGTCTTATTCGTCTTTGTTATATTTTCATTCTTTTCACACATTTCTTATTACATATATACATACATTCATTAGTAACCCTTTTGCTCTCTCCCACAACAGCGATGACTACTAAATAGGTTAGAAGAGCGGTCTGTCTAGACGTCTGTACACTCGCACTCACGCGCGCACGCGCTTATGTGCATATCGACAAACCATCAATAGTGGTAGTTGTTTCCTGTGCACATTTGGTTCTTCTCCTCTCTTTTTTTTTTCTTTTTTTCTTTCGATAGTTGTATTTGATAACTTTTCGCCGGCTGACCAACATTCAATGCTCGGTCATCCTCTTGCGTGTGCATTGTCCAGACATCAATGTAAATATGCAGAAAAAAGACGGGTGCAAGTGAATGAGAGAAAGAAAAAGAAAATATATTGTATTATTGCGCTTCTATCTCGTTCTTCGTTTTTTTTTGAGTAATAATAAAAAAAACGAAGAAGAAGAAGAAGAAGAATAGAAAGAGAGAAAAACAAAGACAGAGAATAACGCCGACAAGCTGGTCAGTCGTTCGTTATGTAGTTTAGAGTATAGTAGACAAACGTATGGGATGGATTGGGTAGATAGAGAAAAAACATCGGACATGAAAAAAGACATTAATAATATTATATATGAAGAAAATCTGTTTGTACGGCAACCGACAATTGATATTGAACAAATTCAAGAATGAAATTTTTGTTCGTCAAGATAAAAGGTGGTAGGTTTATTTTTTAGTTTTTGAAAATAAGAATTGTATCTTTTCTATGAAAAACATTTTCTTTCTCAAGACAGTTGTAATGATTTGTAAGTCTACCTTTATTTCAAAAAAATTTATCTAATCATGTCACATTCATTGTTGAGACTACATTAAAAAGAATTTTTAGGCATAAAATTAGAGTCTGTCGGATTCGAGTCTAAAATTTTTTTTTGTCAATCAAGTCCGATACGCTCTAGTTATCTGAGAAATGTGCAGGGTTTGCTAATCACTGAATATAAAGTATCGAAAAAAAAGTATCTTCGAGATGACTATCCAATTCCGATTAGAAAATTCCATTGAAAGTATTAAAGTATAAGGTTTGAACGAATCTGGATCTGAGTGCCCAGAACTGGAGTCTAGTCCGAAAATTTTGGAACTGACGAAATCTACATGAAATATTATTTTCTATCTAGTTTGACGATGACAACGACTCATATCATCTTTATGAATGCTGTTCAACTACCACCTCATCATCGGGTCTCAATAAACAATCTAGACAACAGCCGTTTTAATTTAAATAAGATCAATCATTTAATTTGTACAATTGTTTTGTTTTCTTCTTATCATGATTTATTCTATATATGGGATCTTTTTTCTTTTCTTTTCATTTAATATTCATTAACGTTCAATTTGTTTTCTTTCTTTACTAATCAATTTTGTCTTTTAAAATATTTGTGTGTGGAACTTGTGTTTTCTTCTAAAACCCGACGACGAACAGCGCGAGGTCCACAACAGTGATATATTTATGTACAGAGTCGACGCTGTTGTCTTTGTATGTCATTTTTATTTATGCTTACATACTTTTCTCTTTTTTTTTTTCTTTTTGGTTTTTTTTTCTGGATTATCATTCTATTAGCCATTGGGAATAAGACAAATTGAAATTCAATTTTGACAATTGAATACATCGCACCACATATTACGAGTTTATTTAGTTCTGCAGGAAAATGATACTGATATATATATATAGATAATAGCAGCAAACAGAGACAACAAAGGAAAAATTGTACTTTTAGAATAAAAAAAAAAGAGATACATCAATGCGAACAATAAATCTATAGATATTTATAGAAAACGAAGGTAATGAATCCATTCTCGGTCTGTCGTTGTTCGCTATGTTGATATATTGTATTTACACACAAACATATAGAAAGAAACAAAAAAAAATGTGGATCCAAATATTGAATGGTCTCTTTTATTTATTGTTGAGTCCGACCACGAAATCCACCACCACCTCCACGGCCATAAGGAGCACCGCCGCGTCCACCACCTCCACGTCGCATGGGACCACCCGATGATGAACCATAACTCTCACCAAAACCAAACCCGGATGGTTGGTTAAATGTACCAAAACCTAAAGAAAAAAAAAACAAAAATAAAACGTTATGCTTTCAAATAGATTTTTCTCTTACTATCATTATAATTTCCTCCACCTGATCCATCCATTCCATAACCATTTCCACCCATAGGTGCTGATCCACCACCATAGCCTACCATACCACCACTACCCATATCACCACCATAGCCACCACCATATGGCGCTGGTCGATTAGTATAATCACCACCAGTTCCATAACCACCACCACCGCCACCACCAACTGATCGATAACCACCACTACCTCCACCAAAATTCGATCCGCCACTCATCGGTCCCCATCCACCACCACCGCCAGCACCACTACTACCACTCATTCGTGATGATGGTCCACGCATACCACCACCGCCACCACTACCACCTGGACCACCATAATGTGATTGCCCCATACGACCTCGATTTGTTTGTTCTTTAGGTAAAGCTTTTTCAACATTAACTGGATTTCCTTTAATAACATGATGTTTTTCAAGTACAATTTTATCTACCGGATCATAACTAAATTAGAAAAACATGTATAAACAAAATGAAAATTTTTCAAATATCTTACTCATTAAATTCAACAAATCCAAAACCACGAAATTTTCCTTCATTTGTTTTCATTATAACAGTTTGAACAATATGACCATACTAAAGACAAAAAAAAACAAGATTTTAATTACAATTTGTTTTTTTTTTAATCTAAATTAACTTACTTTTGAAAAATATTCTTTAAGGTCATCTTCATTAATGGTTCCTTCTCGAATACCACCAACAAATAATTTTTTTGCACTTAAAGCTGATTCTGGTTTACCACTTTCTTCTTTTGGTATAGCACGTTTTGGTTCAATTTCACGTGAATCAAGTACATGTGGACGTGCAGCCATTAATTTATCAACCATTGTTGATGATAAATAAGTAACAAAACCAAAACCTAATTTCAGAAAAAAAAATTCTTATCAAAAAATAATTTTATTTGATTTTGTATTTACCTCGAGAACGATTTTCACGATCACGCATTATAATACAATCCTAATTGAATATGAAAAAATAAATATTTTCTTTTCTTTTTACTTTTTTTTTTTGTTACTTACATCAATCTCTCCAAATTTCGAAAAATAATCACGAAAAGTTTGATCTTCTGTTTTATAAGATAAACCACCAATAAAAACTTTTCGAAGTGCTTCTGGTTCTAAATCATTTTTATTCGGTGATGATGATGGTGTTTGTTGATTTTCATTATAAGTATTTTCTATGGATTCATTTTGTTCTTCAATGGAAGTTTCATTTATATCCTTATTATCCGTATGTAGAATACCATTCATTGATGATTCTGTTTGTTGATTATTTGTTAACGAAGAATTTAAATCATCTTTAACAACCATATCGGTTGTTGTTAATGTATCAGCGGACATCTTATTAATCAAGAAAATAAATTTATTCTATTAATTCGTTATGATGATCTAAAATGGAATCTCAACTTTTGTTTTTTTCTCTTCTATTCCAATTAAATATGTACATTAAATTTGATTATATACAAATAGATATATATATATATATACTCCTCTCGTTACAAAACACGAACAGAATGTTTTTTTTTTTTTTGTAAAGTCGAAATACAAACGCGAAGAAGACTTGTGTTCTGTCGATCAATACAACCGTATTCATAAATGCTATTATGTTTCTCTCACTCGTTCACGAGATGAATGACAACTACCGAAAGACGGGCTCTTCCTATTGCCTGCCTCTGTCGTCTAAATCTACAAATAGACAAAATCAGTAAAAAATACTCTCGTACTCGATACTCTTTTTTTTTTATAAATATAAATATTCTTACTCATCTGAATATTTGTCATTGAAATTAATATAATAATTAAAAAAAAAATCTTTTTTTTTGTCTTACATACCTTGTTATTTGTTTTGTTGGAATTAAAATTATTTTCTAAAAAAATGACAAAAAAAAAACAAGGCGATTAGATGAAATATTATTTTAATATTCGTTACAGTTTTAGAACGATTTTTTTGTTTTGTTAATTGATCATGTATACATCTTGAACATTGTTTAGTCATTTTTGTTTGTTTCTTAAAGTTATTTCTCCAGTACAAGATGATGAACATAAACTAAAAAAAAATATTTAAATCATTACTACAGTCATATTGAACTGTTGAAATACTTGGAGCCGAACCGGTCGGTTCTTTACCAATATTTCGTGTAGTAAAGTTGATCCATTTTGGTCAATATCCGAGCTGATATAATCAGACTGACTGAATTTATTATACTCACGAAAAGTTAGTCAGATATTAGAAGTTAATATCGATCTCAACTAAAGATTTTTCACCTCAAAATTTTAAGTTTACTAATCGATTGTGTCAGAAAAGAAATTCTACGTTCGCATTTAAAAAACATGGCCGACTAAAATAAAAATGGTTACTATTAAACATTTCAAGAGTTTCACATAGTAGAACTGAATCTTGAAAGAACTAGTTGATTTATTGATGCCTTAAACGAACCAATTTTTTGCTAACTAAGTCAAGGATTTTAATTGACCAATCGAAAACAATCTCACCTGTTCGAAGTATAATATTCATTGTAATTGCACAACAGCAATATTTGATGCATATTCATTGTATATAATGTTGTATAAGCAAATGTAACAGCTTATATTTAGTATTTGAATGAATCATTTTTTTATACATCATGCTAAAAAAAACAAGAATTATGTAATGGTTTGGAATTTTTTGTAAGATATATTAATAATAATAAATAAATACCCTATTTGATGTAATTGAAAATTCATATGATATTTTCTTCTTTTGATTAATCGTTATAAATTATAGAAGACGTGGAGAAAAAAATATGAGTAAATACTTAATGATAATTACTTCGTATGTCTGATGAATACAACAAGACTAAAGTGCAAAGAGGAAGATAAAAACAGAAAGGAAAAAACAAAGAGTCCTCCACATGATACATAATTGGTTAAAAGCCAATCTATTGATATAAACAAATATTTTGTTTAAGATTGAAACAGAAATTGTCAAATTATTTATAAATATCATTAAAAACATATTATATTAATTTATTTAAGAGAAAATATGTTGATGGTTTAAGTAAGAATTGAACTAAAGTGACATCTATTACTCATCGACGATCTCGTGCATATCAATGTTTATAATAATAAGTATCTCAATGAGAAACAAAATGCTCGAAGTATTGAAATAAACATATGAAAGAAACGATTATCGTCAATTAATTAGAGAAATATTTCAAGTCTGTAAAATTTTGTGAGTCAAATATAATTTCTATACATTTTTTGAAATATAACCATGTGGATTTGAAATCAAAAGGAACCTTTAGTTTTGACATGAATGTCACTAATATGACATTAACGAGATTGAGTAAGTTTAGAAATCGATTGGACTAAACTTCTCATTCATATTCATTTGCATCGAAAAATGTTTTTGATAATATAGATAATTTCGGGAAACCGATTGCAGGTTCGGATTCTTCGATCTTGAGAATCCTTGATCAAATCGCTACTTCCATCAAATAGCCTTTCTTTGACGAAGAAATCAAATCCACTAATTTTCTATTACTCGATAATTGGTAACGGATGCATATCAACTACTTGGCAACGTTATGATAACTGCCCTTCCCTAACTGCGACCTCTCAGGTAAGTGCTAAGAATTATCATGTCACGACAAATACCTGACGGTTAAACCAATCATTTGTTAATGCTAACTAGGAAGCTTTTGGATCATAAAAAGACCTACTGCTGCTTTGGTAAGTGTAAGTGAAAGTAATAGTAAATGTGACATTCCTACCCATAACTTGAGAGAGTGCTGTCGAGAAGAATTAAAACTTATGGCTGGTTATATGTACATTAAGCAACATGTGATTGACTCAATGGACTTTTAAAGTATATGAGATATTGATATGCACAGGTGAATTCTGCTTATTTCAAAAGTTTACAAAGGAATAACGAGAAAACTGTATGAATGGTGTAATGACTGATATGAGTATTATTCATATGAAAACTAATATGGTAGAAATAGTATTTAAAAAAGGTTGTTCGGTTAGTGAACAAAAGGAAGTATTTCGCATGTCTGGTTATCCATATTCACTATATACGAATTCAGTTGATCATCTTTTAGATGCAATTACATCATGGAGAATAAAACAAGATAAAGCTGTTTGATTAGAACAATTTACACCTACTAATACATCGACCTCAGTATTAAAAATTAGTATCCTGCAACCCAGCCAAGTGCTCGACACCTGGCTCTACTCCGAATATGGGCCAAGATGAAAACATATCGGATCGATTCGAGTCTCAATATGATCTCATACCCAAATCCAACTCGGCAAATAATCAGATCTTGACATTTCAAGATATTTTTACTTTTTCAAACTGTTATTTATATAAAAGTATACGAGTGAAAATCGGTTCGATGACGGATTGTATTTTATTGAAGGAATTCATTTTTTTAATGAAAATTTATCTACAAATGATAATGAATCGTATGACGAAGTAATTGAATACATGGAGTAGGAAAAGGAATTATCCAACAGGTGAACATCTATTGTCGTAATGAAAAAAAGCATTCAGGTATGTGTTCACAATTATGACGCTTGGCATCAATACTGTGTTCCATTTCAGCGTCATTAGCAACGTATGCTTAGCGAGATTGATCGGATTTTAGAAGCAAAAAGACATTAGTTTCAGCATTCTTAGAGAAACTTAATGAAGTAAAAATTTAAAGTCCCTTTCCCTCCTTTGGGCAAAGTCTATTCTTCGAGAAAAACTCGATTTCGGGTTGTTTTGTGCATATTTTAATAATCCTTGCAATGGGGTTTAAGCTGAAATAATATCTTTTCTCAAGAGAAGGAAATTAGATTATTTTTCTGATCAGTTTTTCCGAATTTGGGGATGTAGATAGAATAGAGGCTTCGTCCTCAAATTAGTATAACACTTTTTATTAAAAAAACTCTCTGATTTTGAAGTAATAGATAAGTATGTTTTTCTTTTCAGACATTTTATTTTTAAATTTAAAAAAATCTAAATTGTAATTTTTATTAAAAAGAAAACAAAAAACAAATTACGAATATCGAATAGCAAACATACTGTTATTGTTAACAAACAGCAAAGAAGATTAGTCATTGTCTTTTGCCCATTAAATATTGCTTAATCGAACTTTAATTTTTCGGATCCAAATTGTTAAATATCATATAGTCAATCTCAGGAAGATGCAATCAATTTACGATCATGCTATTGGTTTCAAGCTAGTGGTAAACTTTAAAGATCGCTTAATGTGACGGGAGAAAATTTAAAGTAATTACATGTCGAATATATATGGCAGGAAGTAGATAACAATAAACAAAAAATGAATAGACTATAGGTCAATCCTTCTACATGAACTACAGAGTCGTATGGAATATATATGTTGGATTAAGTAGTCTTACTGTAGTATAAACAGGGGGTATGGAGTATTCTGGGAAACAATAAATTCTTATTACTTCCTCAAATTCTTTTTAACGAAAGCAATTACTACTTCTTGTAGTGTGTTAGTACACTACCTATGATTATATTGATACATTAATTCGCTTCGAAATTATTGAGTATATACGATATACATCTAGATATTCTTTACAATTTGTTGATCTAATAGTCAAAAAAGCAATTTTTCGTATCAATATTAGATTTAATTGTACTTTTATTTGTAGAACATGTTAATAAGACTAAAATAAGAAGGAATATAAAAGTACATTAATGTTCATTAAAAAT